TTTAGTAGAAGGCAGCTTCAAAACATTTTATTTAGTAGAAGGCAGCTGCATTTATTGCAGCAGAGCAAAGTGACATATCAGAGGCAGCATTATTAGTTTAGCAGCATTATTATCAGCACAACTTCATTTTACAGCTCAGAACTTAACTGAGAAATACATCCAGGAGGCAGTTTGGTGTAAAAGTCACATAAAACACAGTTTTGTTTTAAATAAATAATTCAAATGTACTAGTTTATTTGCATATAACGGTAATTAACTTCATGTCATTTTCTGAGTTATACTGCTCCCTGCTGGCCACCAGTGTCAGAGGTTTACTCCTCTCGCAAACCATTGTTCCCTGGATATGAACATCCCTGATAGAGATGTTCACATCCTGGATAGAGAGGAACGATGGTTTGAGAGAGGAGTAAAGGAGGCCATCTTTGTGAAAAGAAACCGTCCATTGCTAGTATCACTCAGCCCCCTGTGAATAGTGAACAGCCATCAGTGTGCTAATGATCCATCATTAGGCTGATGGTCCTTCTTGATCATGTGAGCAGCTGGTTTTGATTGTCCGCAGCAAACTGGTTGATCCACTCTGAGAAGGTGCTATTTATAAGACTGAGCTGAATACAGCACCTCAGACTGATTAAGTATTTCGGATGAAAGACAAAACTTTTCTACTTTTTTTTTGGTTGTTGTTTTGTTTTTTGAACGTCCAGAGGACCAGATTTAACTTTTTTAGATTTTTCTACTTGGATTATTGAACATGCATCAGGATAGTGATAAACTATAATATGGTTTGAAATTTGACAATAATTAGTAATCATTGTAAAATTTAAGAAGAAATGTTTAATTCATATTGAGTGTAGTGTCATTTTTTTGACCACCGCATAGCAGTATAAGACTGTTTGAACCCAAGGATGGATAGTGAGGGAGCGAGCAGCGTATCTCTAAGAAAAATGGGAGGGAGGCTCCTTGACGTGACATGGGCTTTCTCTCCTTCCTTTTTCCGATTCTCAAAATGGCGGACGCTGTGTGGTTTGAGCTCTTTAGCATAGCATTTTTCACACAAAGCTTTCAATTAAAAAAAAAATAAAATCAGTAAACAAGTTCTCAGCTTCTTGTTGCACAGAAAAACAACTTTTTACACAAAGGCACAAGTTTCAACCATGAATTTTGGAGCTTCCACAAGACGGAGGTTTTTTCCACGATGTCGGCCTGTTAGCTTAGCTCATAGCTTAGCTTCTCAGCTTAATTGCTTTTAACGATCCAAAAACACAATTTTGGATCATTAAACGGACTTCAAATAAACTAGAAAGGGAGGGGTCAGTGAAGAGCACTGGAGTTGAGCTTTTTGTCATCCAGTGTCTTCAGCAGAAAGAGAGAGACACGAAGAAATGATAAAGCTGATAAATGAAAATGAGGTTGATGATTTTCATTTATCATGCGATTAATTAATTTATGGTTTATCGTGACAGGTCTAGTTAGTCTCATGAATAACCTTGTTTTTAAAAGTGTCCTTCACATATCTACACGTACGTTTTTACTTTTTCTAAACGGGAAACTCAGTTTCATTGTACATCTGGTGCAATGACAATAAAACATTCTTGTTGATTTGTCGAGTGCAGCAGGTGTGAATGAATGAATGAATGAACGAACGAACGAACGAACGAACGAACGAACGAACGAACGAACGAACATTAATAAAAACAAGCACTTTGCTCCAGATGAGCCGGTTTGTTTGGACAGAGACCCACTGCACACACCACCACCGAGCGTGAGCACAGGCACGGGGGAGGCAGCTTTATACAAAACAAGATTTTAGAGAAGCCCTAATAGCACTGAAGAGCCACTGTAATAAACTACGGCATCAAAGTGAACAGCAAAGATAAAAAACAAGCATTCCTTGAAAAATACACATCCCCCCACCACACGCACACACTCCACCATTAAACAAAGATCCTGCACTATGTTAGCACTCATCAAATACGTTAAGAAAGACTCAGCGACCACCACACCAAATATCAGCTCAGTATCTGTAAATCCAGTGAGTTACAAGCATTTTGCATTTACTAAAATGGCTTTGCTGGGGCGGCCATCTTGAATCAGGTCGACTCTAAAAGTGAATCAGTTATAGATGTATATTCAATTATTACTTCCTGAGAGGTTCAATAAAATCTGTCCACTGAGTTATGAGATATTTTGCTAACAGACATATTCATCTAAAATGGCAGCTGGGAAATGAATAAAGTGACTGAAGTTGCTCGTCTAAAGCTTTTAAAAGATCTCTGATGTGAGGTGAATCAGCCTCATCAGTGCTGGGGCCTTTTGCTCTTTGGTTTACAGACTTTTTAAAAACACAGGATTTGGCTTCTTTCCACATAAAATCATCTGAAACATTCATTCGAACAACAGAAACACATCATAGTCCTGAGGACAAAAACACAAAACAGGCACTTTGAAACTGACACTTGATCTGAGCAGCTTCGGATCAGAAGGTTGAACATAAACATCTGTACATCCAGCTGTTTTTCACTGAAGCTTCATTGAACCCCCAGAGGTTCACCTGGTTCACTGACGGACATGGATGAAGACATTACTGCTGGCTTCACCTCTGAGCAGTGTACAATGATGAGGATGTCCTTATTCCAGATCAGACCGTCCACACCTGCTTCCTGTCCTGTCATGGCTCTGCTTCCTGTTTTGATTGACAGCTGCTCCTCAGTGAAGTCACCTGGAAGGTGTTCAGCAGTGGGCGTGACCTTTGAAGAAGTCGGGCCAAACCCGCAGCAGCTCTGAAGGCTCAAAGTTGTTGACGATGATGAGTCCAGCGAAGGTGCACCTGTCGTAGTCCAGCTTTCGGATCTCAAAGAGGTTCCTGAGGAAGAACAGGCTGCGGGAGTAGACGGGCCGGACCCCCAGGACCCTCAAACACAGACCCACGTAGACATCCTCCATGGGGATCAGCTGTACAGACCTGGAAGCCCAGGATATCCGTCCTGCCAGATCAGAGGAGAACACATACCCTGGTCCAGACACATAAGGAGGGAAGCTGTCCTCCGGGTACATGTCCTTTGACAGGTACCACTTGCTGCTGGGGTCCCTCCTGGGCCTGCCATCCCAGATCACTGACCCTGTTATGAAGCTCTGTGTGGGGGAGGTCCGGAGGCGGTATTTGAGGTGGAACACATTCACAAAGATGTCAGCGTCCACCTTCATGGCAAAGGGGGTGTTGGGGCAGTGGGATCCCAGCCACTTCATCATCATCAGGGTCTTCAGGGTCAGGTTCTGGTAGGAGTCCATGAAGTCCATCTGGATGATATCTTCATGCAGCCTGCTCTCATGCTCCAGCTCCTTCTGGATTGGGCGCAGGTCTCCTGTCTCTTGGAGTCCTGTAAAGAACAGGGTCAACGTGTCCGGACTTGGAGCTCCCCATGTCTTCCTTATGGCTTCCCGAGCTGCAACATCACGAGGTGCAACGGGCACCATGAAGACCAGGAAGGGGGTCCTGTCCCTGCACAGCTCCGCCTGGTTCAGGAGGTATCGGCATGGGAGGGGGGGCAGGAGGTGACCCTGGTACTTGGCAGGATTTGACTTAGCTGGGTCTTTTTTGACTGAATTCTGCAAGACCTGGGCAAACAGGAGCAGAACCACCAAGACAGCCAGGAACTTCAGCGACCTGCTGGCAGAAAGTCTCCACATGGCTGCCAGCTTTCTTTAACTGTGTTGTAACGACATGAGACGAGAGGACTTTCAGAGATTTCCTTCTGGAACAGGAAACAGGAGTTTTGAGGCAGAAACAGGTCCAGATAAAAACCTGACCACCACAGAGGGGGAGGTGGACCAGAGCACAACCAAACTTTTTATGTTATAGGCTGGGAACACTGGAACATATCTTACAGTACTGCATGGGATTTTAAAGGTTTGACCAACAATATACTGCATATATTTTGTTATAAACTGTTTTTTTATTTCCAGTTTTCCTCTCTTGGTTATTTCCCATATTTTTTCCTCAGTCATCCCTTCTGTCAGCTCTCCTCTTTCACCTGCATCCATTCAGCTCGTTAGCTCAGGTGTTTCAAATCAGTAGTCAGCCCTCCTACAAGTTATCCTCCTCACCTTCAATCTCTTTCAGAATTATTTGCTCCTAATATAAATGGATTGAATTCAAATACAGTTATTGAACACATCAATCAATATTATGGATATGTAAAAATATATGCAGACGCTTCAAAAGAATACAGCAGAGCAAATAGGGTCAGCATTCATTACCAGAGTTTTGAGTTAAAGTAGGGAAGATATTAAACAACAAATTATCAGTATACACAGGAGAAATGGTCGCAATATTACTGGCAGTTCAGTGGATAGAAGATAATTAACCACTCAGATCAGTCATATGCTCAGATTCCAGTTCATCAGTAATTAGTATAAAAAACAGTTGTTCAGAAAGCAGACTAGACATATTGATGGAAATACAGCAAACATTATTCAGAATTAAGATGATGGGGTTGACAGTTACATTTTATGGATTCCAGCTCACAGAGGGATATTACATATCCATACATAGGGAAATATATATATATATATATATATATATATATATATATATATATATATATAGGGAAATGAAATAGCAGATAAAGTTGCAAAGGAGGCCACCAAAAACATCTCAGTGGAAATGTAAAATTCAGTCGGGGAGAAATAAAAAGCTTCACAAAGCAGAGAATGAGGGAAAAATGGCAAAAGCGATGGTAAGAAGCAAGAAAAGGTCAATGGTTCTACAGAATTCAACGAAAAGCAGGAGAAATGAGGAGAGCTGAAAGAAACGGAAGGGAAGAAACTGTCATATCAAGACTCAGATTTGGACACACAGAACTGAACAGGACATTATTCATCATAGGGAAGCATAACACCTGTAAATGTGACTACTGTGGGGAAGATGAGACCATACAACATGTGCTAATGATCTGCAAGAAATGCAGTCATGAAAGAAGACAAATGATTCATAGACTCACTGCAATAAACGTCAGATTCGACCCTGCAGTGTTGGTACAATAAAATTCAAGATCTGCAAGTACGAACATCTTGTTGAGATACCTGAAACAGACTCGTTTATTTGAAAGAATATGAGTGTTATTTATTTATTTATACATCCTTATAGATATAATTTTTTTTTTTTTTAGCGTCATTCCAGTTTATAATCCAAACCAGCAGATGGCAGTAATGCTTCAAAACTTTGAATGCCAACCGCCAAAGTAAAACAAAGAAGAAGATGAATTCTTTGCTCCTTTGGTTCATAATTTGTTTCTCAGCAAGGTTGTTTATGTTCTTTTGTGTACACTCTATCATTTACTGATTTGCATACTTTGTGCTACTTTAACCAACTAAACTTTTAAACTAATACTTCACCACACTGAGGCATTGACAGAAGTCATCTCAGGGCACTGAACAGAAACATTCATATATAAAAATAATAATTTAACACTAGCTATCTGAGGAGCAGACTGCTTTGAATTTAATTCCATCACAGAACTTTCATCTTGAGCAAGCATGAAGGAGACAGTGGAAAGGAAAAACTCCCTCATGAGGAAGAAACCTTTAGCAGAACCAGGCTCAGGACAAGTGGTCATCTGCTTCAAGCAGCTGGGTTTGGTAAGAACAGATACACAATGGCAGGTCAAGAAACACACGTTAAGATAGAAATAGTATCAAACAAAAACGATTCAATTTTAACAATTCAATTAAGGAAATGAAGTCACTTTATCCTCTAGTAGTCTAAGCCTATAGCAGCATAACAAGCCAACCCTAACTATAGGATTTATCAAAAAGGAAAGACTTAATCCCAGTCTTAAAACTGGACAATATGTCAGCCTCATGGACAGAAACTGAAAGTTGGTTCCACAAGAGAGGAGCCTGATAACTGAAAGATCTTCCTCCCATTCTGCTTTTGGAAACTCTAGGGACCACAAGTAAACCTGCAGTCTGAGAACGAAGAAGTGCTCTGTTCGGAAAATATGGAACAATAAGATCTCCTATATAAGATGGAGCTAGGTTGTTGAGAGCTTTGTAGGTTAGAAGTAAGATTTTGAATTCTATTCTGAATTTGACAGGGAGCCAATGGAGAGAAGTTAAAACTGGAGAGATAAATATGGAGAGATATGAGTTGAAAAGGATGTTCTGTGGACGCATTCTCATCTGCCTACCAGCTGTGCTCGGGTGCCTGACCACTGGGATCCTGGAGCTGGCGGGAGACACGGCTCATGGCAGTGGAAAGACAAGATCATCCCTTGGCACCTACAGTTGGCTGGAGGAGGAGGAGCTCAGCAGACTGCTGGGAGGAGTGGCCATCGCTCTAGGAGGAGTTCTGCCCAGCATTTGGGCGGTCCTACAGCCCGAGGGGAACCGAGAGGCCAGCTGAGTCTGGGTGGACGGATTGGACGGCATCTGCAGCCAGTTTCTTAGGATCCACTGTGAGATGGACCTTTACAAGAGATCCTTCCTGCCTACAGCCATCAGTATCTATAACATCTCTTAATGAAATGAGGATAACGAGTTACAACAACAAATAATTTCCCTCTGGGATTAATAAAGTATTTTTGAATTGAATTGAATTGAATTGAATATGATCTCTGCTATTAACTCCAATTAAAACTCTGGCAGCAGCATTTTGGATCAACTGAAGATGCTTTAAAGAAGTATTTGGACACCCAGATAGCAAACCATTGCAATAGTAAAAGTAATTTTAAAATGTTTCCCCACAAAAATACATTGATATTTTAGTTCCTTCTAAGTGTAGCACTGAGGGTGTGGTTATCTTTTAAAACGAATATGAACGTTATAATGGAGAATATCCTGATGCATGCTCAATAATCCAGGTAGAAAAATCCAAAAAAGTTCAATCTGGTCCTCTGGACATTCAACAAAGCAAAAAACAAAGCAAAAAAATCTAGAAACATTTCGTCTCTCATCCAAGAGACTTCCTCAGTCTGAGGTGCTGTTTTCAGCTCAGTCTCTTAAATAGCACCTTCTCAGAGTGGATCAACCAGTTTGCTGCTGACAACCAAAACCAGCTGATCACATGCTCAAGAAGGACCATCAGCCTAACAATGGGTCATTAGCACACTGATGGCTGTTTACTACTCACAGAGGGCTGAGTGATACTAGCAATCACAGCATTGTAAGAGGGGGACAGTTGAACCCGGAGGCCTCCACCCCGTTTAATGATGGACGATTTCTTTTCACAAAGATGGCCTCCTTTACTCCTCTCTCAAACCATCGTTCCTCTCTGTCCAGGATGTGAACATCTTCATCCTTGAAAGAGTGACCGCTGGCCTGGAGATGAGTGTAGACTGCCGAATCCTGGCCTGATGATGTTGATCTTCTGTGCTGGGCCATCCTTTTGGCCAGTGGCTGTTTAGTTTCCCCAATGTAAGACTGATCACAGCCCTCCTGACACTGAACAGCATACACAACATTACTCTGTTTGTGCCGGGGGACTGGATCTTTTGGATGAACCAGTCTTTGCCGTAATGTATTTTGGGGAGAAATCCTACACAAAACAGGCTCTAGAGCAATGTGGATATCCTAACTGGGCCTTCCTGAAAGCAGAGAAGAAACCCAAACAGGACTCCAGTCAGCCATCAGGTGAAAAGGAGGAACCCAGACCCAGACCAGTGGTCATTCCGTATGTTGAGGGGGTATCAGAGAAACTGAGACGTTTATTTTCTAAACATAACGTCCCAGTGGCTTTTAAACCCCAAAATACATTACGGCAAAGACTGGTTCATCCCAAAGATCCAGTCCCCCGGCACAAACAGAGTAATGTTGTGTATGCTGTTCAGTGTCAGGAGGGCTGTGATCAGTCTTACATCAGGGAAACTAAACAGCCACTGGCCAAAAGGATGGCCCAGCACAGAAGATCAACATCATCAGGCCAGGATTCGGCGGTCTACACTCATCTCCAGGCCAGCGGTCACTCTTTCAGGGATGAAGATGTTCACATCCTGGATAGAGAGGAACGATGGTTTGAGAGAGGAGTAAAGGAGGCCATCTTTGTGAAAAGAAATTGTCCATCATTAAACAGGGGTGGAGGCCTCCGGGTTCAACTGTCCCCCTCTTACAATGCTGTGATTGCTAGTATCACTCAGCCCTCTGTGAGTAGTAAACAGCCATCAGTGTGCTAATGACCCATTGTTAGGCTGATGGTCCTTCTTGAGCATGTGATCAGCTGGTTTTGGTTGTCAGCAGCAAACTGGTTGATCCACTCTGAGAAGGTGCTATTTAGGAGACTGAGCTGAAAACAGCACCTCAGACTGAGGAAGTCTCTTGGATGAGAGACGAAACGTTTCTAGATTTTTTTTGCTTTGTTTTTTTGCTTTTTTGAATGTCCAGAGGACCAGATTGAACTTTTTTGGATTATAATGGAGAATGTTAATTCTTTAGTCAATTTGCAATGAGTGAAAACCAACAACGCCACCTGGGGTCACCACCGCCACCACACGAAGTCTCAGTCCCTGAAACAAACAAAAAAAATTTTTTTAAATGAACAAACAGCCTTAATGAAACAGCCGCGTCACAATATTTCATAATAACAGATTTAGTGGTGCACTCAGTTCATTAAAATCAAAGCCTCAGCCAGTAGGGCAAGGGCCCGAGTTAGTTTTATATTTTTTTCTCTAGGCAAAACAACAGCGAGCAGAATC